GATTGCGGGACATGGACCATTCTTGCACCAGAGTCCAAAAATGATGCAAGCTGGTCAATCTCAGGATCTTCTTGGTCGACATAAGGCATATACAACCTCATGCACATACTATTCATTTCCTCCTCAGTGGGATAAAGAATTGGTACGGCCATTCCCTGTATATTAAAAGAACATACATTCAATGATTATTTAGGTGGAAACATATTGTAAAAAAAAACAAATATGCCTATTTTGTAAAATTACACCTATAAAAATATTGTATTTAAACCCTTACCTTGCCACTGTACATGAGGTCGTCTATCTGTCTAACCTCAACCAATGAAACCCGGCGTGCCTCCCATTTGAGGATTCTGGGAAGACGTCCCTCAACCATCTTTGCAAACGTGGCGCCGATGGTTGGAAATGTTTCGAATGCCCAAACCTGCATTAAACCAATTTTTTTAAGTCTAGTAAACCAATTATGGTATTATTTACTATAAGGCCATGAAAAATTATGCATATAACTCTATGACATACCTGGAAGGCCCAAGGAAACCCGCATATTGAATAGATTTCCTTGATGCTCTTATTACGTCCTTTCCGAACCCATTTCTGGAATTTCTCTATCAAATTCTTCTTCAAAGCCTGCAGGGTGCATTCAAAAGACACCCTGCCCTATGGATAGCTGTTGAAGAATTCTAAATCGTCAACGTAAGACAACCAATCCAGTGGGACGGTCTTCTTCTCGTCCCCAGATAATAATACTTGTACTAAAAAATAAATGATAGTGATATTTGCTTTATCGCTACCTTTTATCTTCTTCCCTGTGAGCAATTTTCTTAAATCAGCAACAATTACTACGTGGGACTTAAAATGCTCCAATAATCTTCTATTCTTTGAAGCTTTCAAGATCACGTCCGGCTTTGGAGTTTCCCTGCAGTTCAATCCAGTAATTAATGCAAATTCCCTCATTCCAAACCGAGTTGTGGTTCCATTAATCATGAACCACAACTCATGTTTCTTTTTTGTTTCTATCCGCCTCAAAAGCAGATATTGTGTCAATACTCCAAAATATATCATATTTTCAGACATCGAAATAAAATGTCTGAAGGCAGACTCCTTGAAAATTGGCATTTCTGTTTCGGGGTCTAGATTATGCCTGATTACCTCCAAAGCCTCGATCTTTGACTTCATAGTCACTTTCACTGGGAAATACTGTCGCACAAGATCCATGATCATCTTTAGATGTCCGATCCCAGGAAGTTCACCTGTGTTGTACTTTGGGAGGTCATACTGAAAAAGAAGAAAAAACACACCGGTCAGAACCGACCAAAATGACAGAACCGACTAGAATAGACTAAGAAACCAACAAGAACTGACTGAACCGACCATGACCCGACCCAAAATCCCTGCAGAACCGACCAAACAGACAGAACCGACCAAAACCGAACAGAACTGACCAAAACTGACCTGAACCGACCAAGAACCGACCACCAACCGACCAAAACTGACCTCACCAAGAACCGATCAGAACCGATCAGAACCGACCGTATTCGACAAGAACCGACCAGAACCGACCTTATTCGACAAGAACCGACCAGAACCGACCATATTCGACAAGAACCGACTAAGAACCGGCCACCAGAAACGACTTAAAACTGACCTAGAACCGACTGAGAACAAACCAGAACCAAAACCGACTAAGAACCGACTATGAACAGACTAATGTTGCTTATATTAAGTTTGTGTTCTTGCAAAAATATACAAGAAAAAGTAAAACAAGAATATTACCTCGGCAGATTCCGTTGCCTCGTCGACAACTGTTCGGGAAATGACCGTTTTAGTTGAGGAAGAAGAGTTGGTTTTTGATGCCATTTTAGTCAGATTTTGGTGAGCAGGTGGTCAGTTTTTGTGTTCGGGACTTTGGTGAGTGGTCGGGGTCGGTTTTTGGTCGGTTTTAGTGGGAACGGAGTCGGTTTTTGATGAACGGTCAGTGTTTGGTGAGGTGGTTGGTCGGCCGAGACGAGAGAGATCGGAGAATGGATCGGAGAGAGAGAAATAGATGAGAGGAAAGCCGGCGGTCGGTCGTGAGGTTGGTGACTGATCGGAGAGAAAAGTCGGCGGTCGACGAGAGGTGATCGGAGAGAAAAACTGGTGGTCGGTCGTGAGAGAGCTCAGTCAGGGGAGAGATGGTTGAGCGGTTAGTTTCGGGGGGAAGAGAGGGTCTAGCGGCGGTCGATTTTGTGAGGAAATGAGATTTTTGAAAATGACCTAGGACTAATAAGACCCATTTTTTGCCACGTAAGATACACGTCATCATTTTTTTATTATAAAAAAAAACTGACCTATTTCCTCAAATTCTAATTTTCTCCGGTCTCTTTTATCAAATTTTCTCCAAATTGACCAACAATGGCGGACCCTTGGATTAGAGTAGCAGTGGACGCTATTCACGCTTCTCCGACCCAGTGCGTCCTTTACCTCGCCGGCGGCGCCTCCCAGGTAATTCCGACGCTTCATAACCTTTAGTCCTCTACGAACATATATCTATCTCTCTATATACTAACTTTTTGGCTATGGAATTGATGGAATTGATCGATTCATGATAATACTTGGTTAATTAGGCGGTGGGGTGGCTAATATCAGTTCCCGGAGCTTCCAACACTGTCCTTGAAGCCCTCGTCCCCTATTCCAGAATGTCCATGATTCAGTTACTCGGCAAGGTTACTCTCTCTCTCTCTCTCTCTCTCTCTCTCTCTCTCCCTCTCCCTCTCTCCCTCTCTCTCCCTCTCTCTCCCCTTCAATTGCGTGTCAAATTCTTATTTTTTGGGGGGTTTTTCAGATTCCGACCCAATTTTGTAGCGGGAAGACTGCTGAAGAAATGGCTTTGGTGGCCTACAATCGCGCTCTCAAGCTCTCCAGACCAGGTTATTAATCGTCAATGTATTACTTGTACTGCTTTTTTTTTTGGGTCGTTTGTTTAAGTTGTTTGCATATATGCTGGTGATTGAATTATCTTTTTACGTTTGTCCCGTATGTCGGTAATTTAAAACCGAAAAAGCTGAAAGATACTAATTTGCATTAGTGATACAATATAATGCAGTTATGCCTATCAATTTTTTTTTGTTTTTTTTCTTTTTATGAGCCAATTTTTTTCCACAGTTGTTTGTATGGCTTATCCTATTTCAGATTCTTGGTTTATTAGGAACTTAAGATCGGGTCTGAACTCTTTTTAAACTCAGTTTGGAGAAAAGACAAGCTCACCAGTGTAATATAGGCAGGCACTTGGAGAGAATTTATGTATATTTTCGTTTTTATAAGAAACAAAAATGAATACAATGTTCTTGTTTTCTGATTTATGTGGCTTCATTAATCTCTGCAATAGGTCTCCCAGTTCTTGGCGTGGGTTTTACAGGCTCTCTTGGTAGCACGCGTCCGAAACTCGGGGATCACAGGTATAACTTACACAACTTGTTATGTGACATGGAAATTTCTTGGGAATACATCATATAAGAATTTAAAGCACCACATGCTCTCTCAGAAGAGAAATCGGTTTAATTACGTAAAAGATGTGTTTTTATTGTTTCTTTTTATTGGAAAGATGGTTGGTGGACAAGGTTGACTGCATCCTCTTACCCCCTCGAGTTGATCCAACCAGTTATTATAGTTGTATTCTTACGCCTTGTTTTATGGTTTTGATATCTGCTATGTGGAACCATAAGCAGTTGTATTGATTATATTAGGTTTCTGATTTGTTTGGTTCAGCTTATGCACTCAGTGGTTAGTTTGGCTAGTTGTTGACTAGGATGCTCATGACTCTGAAATGCAAGTTTACCATAACCATCGTGGATGGCTTAGGTTTTCTGTGTCATTTTTTGAGTCAGTTTTCATACATTTCATATACACATGCGTGTTCTATTCTTTCATATTGTATAATATTGGCCAGTTTCCCCTTTACACTGTTGGCCACATTTCCATCTCTCTCTTTCTGTGAATTTCACAGTGGTCTTAATTCCCCCTTCTGTTATCAAAAGGTTTCACTTGTCGACAAGAACGGCCAACAGACTTTGGGTATCGACGGTTACCCTTTCTAAGGTGATTGCCCCAAAACACCCCCCCTCCCCGCACCCC